GCCAGAGGTCAGTCTTGGATGTTGTTCCTGCTATGTTATCCACCTGCTTCCTGTTTTTTGAGGCAGGGTCTCTCACTGGCCTGGGATCATCTAGTAGGCTAGGCTGGCTGGCCAGCACTAGGGATCCTCCTGTCTCTCCCCAACACTGAAATTGCAGGCACATACCACTATACCTATCTGTTTTAGGCTTTTAAAAATATTTTATTTATTATTTTTTATTTTATGTGTATGAGTGTATTGCCTGCATGTAGGTAGGTGCACCCATGTCGTGCAATACCTGACAAAGTCAGAAGAGGGCGTCAGATCCCCTGGAACTGGAGATACAGCTGGTTGTTAGCTGCCATATGGGTGCTGGAAATCAAACCCAGGTCCTCTGTAAGAGTAATCAATGTTCTTAACTGCTGAGCCATCTCTCTAGCCACTGTTTTAGAATTTTTTATCTGTTTATGTTTTGTTTTTTGTGACATGGTCTCCCTGTGTCCAGAGCTGACTTGGAACTTGCTGTATAGACCAGACTTAGCCTAGTCTCACAGAGATCTGCCTGCCTCTGCCTCCTGAGTGCTGGGATTAAAGGTATGCACCATGATACTTGCTATGCCTGGCTCTTTTACATGGATTCTGGAATGGAACTCGGGTCTTCATGCTTGCAAGGCGAGCACTTTACCAATTGAGCGATCATCCCCCCTTTTCTGTTTCCAAGACAGAATCTCACTATCTAACCCAGGCTAACCTAAAACCCCTGCCTCAGCCTCCTGAGTGCTGGGATGACAGGCATGGGCTACCACACCCAGCTGTCCCTAGATTTGACTAAGCTTTTACATCTCCTTGTAAGATGCTTGCTACATCTGAAGTGGACTCAGGAATAATGAGGCCACTTCTTTGCAAAGCATGGCACACAGTAAGTTCAGCATGCACATAGTAGATTCAGAATAGCAGAGCATGACACACAGTAGGTTCAGCACAGTGCGCAGTAGGTTCAGGATGACACAGCATTGCACACTGTAAGTTCAGCATGGCATAGTATGGTACACAGCAGGTTCAGCACAGTGTATAGTAGGTTTGGCACAGTGCACAGTAGCTTCAGCATGGCAAAATGCACAGTAGGTTCACATGGTGCACAGTAGGTTCATCATGGCACAGCCTGGCAACAGTAGGTTCAACACAGCATACAGTAGGTTTAGCGCAGTGTACAGTAGCTTCAGCATGTCACACAATTCAGCAAGGCACAGCATGTCCCACAATAGAGTCAGCACAATGCAAAGTTGGTCCTACATGGCACATCATGGTGCACAGTAGGTTAGCATGCCACACAGTAGGGTCAACCTGGCACACAGTAGGTTTGTTGAGATCATCTAGAACAGGAGGGCAGCTGAGGGAACCTTCTTGAAGAGGCTTTTGGCTGGGACATGTGGCCTGGCAGGCCTTTGTCCTCTGTGAGGCTGCCCTCCCCTCCCCTTTGTGTGTTCAGGGCTGCAGGCATGCCCTCTCCAAATCTTTGTCCTTTGCAGAGCCTGCAGGCATGCCTTCCCCTTACTTGGCTGTGCTGGATAGCTTTAGTTGTCAACTTGACACACCTGGTTGAGGGAGCCTCAATGTTGAATTGCCTCCATTGGACTGGCCTGTGGCCATGTCCATGGGGCATCTTCTTGATGAGTGATGTGGGAGGGTGCAGCCCACTGTGGATGGTGCCACCACTGGGCAGGTGGGCCTGTGTTGCATAAGAAAGCAGACTGAGCAGGGGCCAGTGCAGCAAGCCAGTAATCAGCGTTCCTCCATGGCCTGTGCTTCAGCTCCTGCCTCCAGGTTTCTGCCCTGAGTTCCTACCTTGGGCTCCCTGATGAACTGTGATCTGGGAGATGTAAGCCGAGTAGACCCTTTCTTCCCCAGGTTTGTATTGGTCAGAGTGTTTTGTCAAGGCAATTGAAGGCAAACTGGAACAGAGGGGTTTCCGATTTATGGACTCAGGGTTGAGTTCTCAGAAATGAGAGATGAGACGGGCCTGTCCTGAGGTTGCCTGGGGTCCCCAGGAGCAGATGGCAGTGGATTCCCCCTAGGCCCAGCATTGATTCCCAGGTATCTGATGGACAGTGGTTCCCAGAGGCTACCTGGCTGAAGGCTTGTGGGGCCAAGTGTCCCAGAGGTGAAGTGAAGCTGGGAAGAGGCTCAGGTAGCCCTGCCTAGTGATACAGGCCTGTAATCCTAGCTACTTAGACGCAGGAGGATGACGAGTGCAAGGCCAGCCTGGGGAACCTAATGAGACCCTGTCTCAAAAAAAAAAAAAAGAAAGAAAAAAGGCAGATAGATCTCTATGAGGTCTGGTTCACACAGTGAGTTCTGGGCCAGCCAGAGCTACACAGTGAGACCCTGTTTTAAAGAAGAGAAAGAAAAAATGAAGTACCAGCACTTGGGAGGCAGAGGCAGTTGGATTTTTGTGAGATCAAGGCCAGCCTGGTCTATGTATTGAGTTCCAGGCTTGCTGGGGCTACAGGTAGATCCTGTCTCAAAAAACAAAAAGCAAAGAAATAGTGAAGAGGACTGGAGGTAAAGCTCAGCAGTAGAACACTTGCCTAGAATTCCCCAGTGATGTGCTTGGGACATGAATGGTAGTGGAACTGCCCAGTGAGGGACTGGGAGCTTAGCTCAGTGGTACATACATACCTGCCTAGAATACCCCAGTGAAGGACTGGGGGTGTGGCCCAGTGGTAAAGCCTAGAATTCCCCAGTGCGGGGCTGGGATCATGGCTCAGTGGTAGAGCTCTTACCATGCAAAGACCTTGGATTAATCCTCACTTCCACAAAAAACAAGCAAACAACAACTAAAACACCCAGTGGTCACTGGGCACATGACTGAGATTCTGAGGACATTGAAGTATTTCTGCTATGAGAACTGTGGGTGGGTTTTTGAATTAGTCTCTCTCTCTCTCTCTCTCTCTCTCTCTCTCTCTGTCTCCTCCTCTTCCTCCTCTTCCTCCTCCTCCTCCTCCCCCTCCTCCTCTTCTTCTCTGCCTCCTTTTTACCCTCACCCTTTTCTTGTCTTTTTGAGACAGGGTCTTACTATGTATCTCAGCCTGACCTCAAATTTGCAGCAATCCTCCTGCCTCAGCTTCCTGAGTGCTAGCATTACAGGAGTCAGTCTAGTCAGTCATTGTGTCCAGCTTCCTTTATTTATTTATTTTATTTTAGCACTTTTCTGATTGTATGTATCAGTGTCCTTCAGATAGGTGACTGATAAATAAAAAAATAAAAATAAGCTGGGCGTGGTGGCGCATGCCTTTAATCCCAGCACTCGGGAGACAGAGGCAGAAGGATCTCTGTGAGTTCAAGGCCAGCCTGGTCTACGTAGTGAGTTCCAGGACAGCTGGAGCTACAGGGAGACCCTGTCTCAAAAAGACCAAAAAAAAAGGCCGCGTGTGGTGGCACAGGCCTTTAATCCCAGCACCCAGGAGGCAGAGGCAAGCGGATCTCTGTGAATTCAAGGCCAGCCTGGTCTACATAGTGAGTTCCAGGACAGCTGGGGTTACAGGGAGACCCTGTCTCAAAAAGACCCCCCCCCAAATAATTAAATAAATAAATAAATAAATAAATAATAAATTTTTAAAAAGGCGAAACTTATGGATTTGTGCCTGGATTTGTTGATGATGGAAGGAAAGGACTCAGCTCTGTCTGTGTTTGTGTCATGGTCCCCTGTGGTCACAGGATGGTTCCTGCAACTTCTTGCAGCCAGCTCACACCCAGGCAGCCCCAAAACAAGGATCACATCTCTCTGCAAAGGGTCCAGTATATTGGGACTTGGTCAGGCATACATAGCATTCAGGAAGCCAAGATAGGATTTCAAGTTCCAAGCTAGTTTGGGATGGACACATAGAAAAACAGCATCTCAACCAGCTAAACCAGGACTTGGAGAGGTGGCTCAGCAGTTAAGAGCACTGGCTACTCTTACAGAGGACCCACCATCTCTTACTCCAGTTCCAGGGGATCTGTGCCCTCTTCTGGCATCCATGGGCATGTCATGTATGTGGTGCACTTACATACATGCAGACAAAATACTTATACATATAAAAGTAAACAAAGTATAGCAAAATAATTTTTTAAAAGTTGAAAAAAAGGAGGGGGGCTGGAGAGATGGCTCAGCAGTTAAGAGTATGTACTATTCTTCCAAAGGACTAGAGTTTGATTCCTAGCACCCATATCAGGTTCTCACAGCTGCCTGTAACTCCAGCTCAAGGGATCCAACATTGTCTCCTGGCCTCTGCAGGCACTACAGAAACCCATATACAGACACACACATATACACATAATTAAAAATAATAAAATAAAAGCCGGGTAGTGGCACATGCCTTGAGTCCCAGCACTGGGAGGCAGAGGCAGGTAGATCTCTGTAAGTTCAAGGCCAGTCTGGTCTACATAGTGAGTTCCAGGCCAGCTGGGGTACAGGGAGATCCTGTCTCAAAAAGTCCAAAAATAAGTAAGTAAATAAGTAAATAAATAAATAAAATAAAAATTGTTTAAAAAGTGAAAAAGAGAGCCGGGCGTGGTGGCGCACGTCTTTAATCTCCCAGCACTTGGGAGGCAGAGGCAGGCAGATCTTTGTGAGTTCGAGGCCAGCCTGGCCTACATAGTGAGTTCCAGGACAGCTGGGACTACAGGGAGACCCTGTCTCAAAAAGACCAAAAAAAAAAAAAAAAAGTAAAAAAGAGAAAAAAGAAAAACCAAAGGGACCCAGGATGAGGCTCAGTTGGTGGCATGCTTGCCTAGCACACAGAGCCCTGGGTTCCATTCTCAGCATCGTGTAAAACAGGCATGCTAGTGCACTGCTGTAATCTCAGCACTTAGGAGATAGAGGTAAGAGGATCAGGAGTTCAAGGCATTCCTCTGCTATATAATGAGTTCCAGGCTGAGGTCTTCTGATGGGACTCTGTCAGATTGGAACCACTGGAGAAGAGTCAGGTTCTCACATCTTAGTCTACATCTTGTCTCTACTGTCCTGTGTTCGCCCGCAGGTGACCGAGCATGGCAGAGAGGATGTGACCTGCATCTGCCCTTGTCTGCCCTCCCAGTGGCACCACCATGCAGAAACCCAGTGGCCTGAAGCCCCCTGGCCGTGGGGGGAAGCACTCCAGTCCAGTGGGTAGGCCGTCCACTGGCTCTGTTTCGTCCTCTGTGGCGGCAGTGTCCAGCGGCTGCAAGGAAGGTGAGTGGGGCCAAGAGTGCTTCATGGGGGCTTTTTTCTGGGGAGACAACAGCAAACATCCATTCCCCCCAAATAGGGACCCAATGGCAGACTAGAGCTAAGGATTGCACTGATAAGGAGAAGTTATATATATAGTTTTTGTTTTTGTCTTTTGAGACAGGGTCTTCCTACAGTCCCAGCTGGCCTGGAACTTATTATTTTTATTTTATGCATATGATTGTATTGCCTGCATGTATGTGAGTGCACCCGTGTTATGCAGTGCCGCGGAGGTCAGAAGAGGGCTTCAGATTCCCCTGGAACTGGAGTTAAGGATGGTTTGTAGCAGCCATGTGGGTACTGGAATAGAACCTGGGTCCTCTACAAGAGCAGTCAGTGCTCTTAACCACTGAGTCATCTCTCCAACCCCCAGAAGTTATATTCTTTTTTTTTCTTTTTTTTTTTTTTTTTTTGGTCTTTTTGAGACAGGGTTTCCCTGTAGCCCCAGCTGCCCTGGAACTCACTATGTAGACCAGGCTGGCCTTGAACTCACAGAGATCCGCCTGCCTCTGCCTCCCAAGTGCTGGGATTGAAGGCATGCGCCACCATACCCGGCCAGAAGTTATATTCTTATAACCAAAATGTATCCTTCTCTAATACCGTTCTAAGCTTAGGCCATTTGAAGTTCCTCCTGTTAGATAGATACTTGAAATGCAATCTGTGATGTTTTGCAACCCAGTGATATTTTATTGTCCTGTGATGTTTTCACTGCTCTGAGATGTTTATTACTCTGTAACATCTTGAAGCTCTGTGATGCTTTCTATTCACCGTGTCTAACTGCTGATACAGATGTGAAACTAAGAAAACGGAAAGTTCACCACATGGTTTAATGAGGCACCTGGTTGAATTAGTCCAAGAAAAGTGTAGATCAAACATGACAGCTACCTAGACTTCTGCTGGTGCTCTCTGTTTTTGTAACCAATTCTTAGCCTGATCAGTCTGGCCTTGATAGAGACCTAAAGGTGGCAGATGTTCTGGAGTGACGGCTCAGTGCTCTTCCAAGGGACTGGAGTTTGGTTGCCCATACCCATGTCAGGTTGTATAACTTCAGCTCCAGTGGGTCTGATGTCCTCTTCTGACTTCTGAAGGTACTCCCCGACCACCAAATAAATTGTATAAAGGAAGAAACATTACTGAGCCAGGCATGGTGGTGCATACCTTTAATCCCAGCACTCAGGAGGCACAGGCAGGTGGATCTCTGAGTTTGACAGCCTCGTCTATATAGCAGGTTCCAGGCAAGGCTCCATAATGTCCATAATGATAATCTTTCTTTTTTTTTTTTTGAGGCAGGGTCTCCTTGTAGCCCCAGCTGGCCCAGAATTCACTATGTAGACCAGGATGGACTTGAATTCACAGAGATCACCTGCCTCTGATTCCCAAATGCTAGGATTAAAGGCATGAGCCACCACGCCCAGCCCTGATCATCTTTCTTTTTATTTCTTTAAATATTTTCTCTAATTTTAAATTTTTTATTTTTTTTATTGTATGTGTATTAGTGTTTGCCAGCATGTAGGTAAGTGCATCTGTGTTGTGCAGTGCTCATGGGAGCCAGAAGAAGGTATCTGATTCCCTGGAACTGGAATTTAGGATGCTTGTTAGCTGCCCTGTGGGTGCTGGGAACCAAACCCAGGTCCTCTGCAAGAGCAGCCAGTGCTCTTAACTGCTGAACCATCTCTCCAGCCCCTCCTTAGTTACTTTTTGTTAGTATTTTATCACAGCGACAAAATGAAACTAGGACACTCAGTGTGCCTCCTCCACACACACATGAGCACACATACTATGACTATGTAGGAACACAAACACAGATCTGTGTGGAGAGGGATGTGAAGAGAGTTGGGGGCTAACAACCATCCCTAACTCCAGTTCCAGGGGATCCTACACCCTCTTCTGTCCTTTGTAGGTACTGCATGACACAGGCGCACTTACATACATGCACGCATAACACTCATACACATAAAAAAATATAAAATTAAAAAAAGAGTTTGGGGCAGTGTCAGAGGTGGGTGATGCAAGGCAGGAATCCAAGTGCTTACAGCATGGTGGGAACTGGGAAGGGTCTGGTAAGGAGGTCCCAAGCCCACCTCCAGTGTGGGGACAGTATATGGACTGAGAGGGGAAAGACCCGACCAGAGAGAAAGTGTACAGGCATCCAGGTGAGGAGTGTGCTCTCATGGCCTGGCTGTGTAGGGCTCACTGTCATGACAGTACTCAAAGGTACTTTCCTGGGAGGAGCCTGAGGATGCAGAATAGCGAGGCTGAAGCAAGAATGCTAGATGTTGGGCTGGCAAAATGACAGCCAATAAAGGTGCTTGCTGCCAAGCCTGATGACTTGAGTTTAATCCCTGGACTCACATAGTGGAAAGAGAGAACTGACCTTGAAACTTGTTCTCTGACCTCCACACACACAAGTATGGCATGTACCTACCTACACATACATCATACATACTCAGAATAAAAATAAAAACCTCCAGTTGTGGTGGCACACCTTTGTAATCCCAGCACTTGGGAGGCAGACGGACAGATCTCTGTGAATTCAAGGCCAGCCAGGGCTACATAGTGAGACCTTCTCAAAAATAAAAAAGAAAAATACAAGTAAAAAAGAATTGTAAGTGTAAAGATGAGAAGAGATTGGCTGCAGGCTCCAATTTGGCTGAGCTTGCTCCAGCAGGAGTGGCACTGTAGGGCACAGTGGCTGGGCACATGCAGCAGCCAGACTGGCCCTGGGCTGGGGTATGACCTTCAGGATAGAAGGTCCATTGTCCCCTCTGGGTTCTTTCTTCGTTGGCCTACTCATCAAGGGAGTCCCTGATTTATTTATTCATTTATTTATTTGTTTGTTTGTCTGTCTGTCTATCTATTTTACAAGTGCTGGGGATTAAATGTTAAGACCTTGCATCTGCTGGGTCAATGTTCTACCACTGAGCCATGCCCCCAGCCCCTCACTGGGGGATGCTAGGTAGATGCTCTGCCACTGAGCTACATACCAGCCCCTCACTGGGGGATTCTAGGCAAGTGTTCTACAAATTAGCCATGCCCCAGTCCCTCACTAGGGGATTCTAGGCAAGCTGGGTATCAGTGACAAAAGCCTTGGGAATAGGGTTAGATAGGAGTGCCAGGTAAAACAGTCTCCATTCCTTCCTGCTGGCCCCTCAGGCTCCCATTGGGACTCACCATCTTCTCTCTTAAGTGTTGGAGGTTCCATCCATGGTGGCACACCTGTAATCCCAGGATTCAGGTGGCTGATGCAGGAGGATTGTGAGATCAATCCTAGCCTGTGCTAAATATGGGAGACCTTTTCTCAAAAATAAACATGGACTGGCAATGTAGCTCAGTTGGTAGACAGTTTACCTAACATTCACGAGGCCCTAGGTTCCATGCCCAACTCTGGGTAAACCAGATATGGTACAGTGTGCGGCTGTAATCCATCCCATCCTTTGGGAGGTGGAAGCAGGAGGATCAAGAGTTCAGAGTTATCATTGAGGCTAGCCTGGGGTACACGAAACTGTCTCAAAATAAATATATAAGTTATGGACTTGAGAGATTGTTCAGTGTTAAGAGCACTGGCTGCTCTTGCAAAGGACCCAGGTTCAATTCCCAGCACCTACATGGCAGCAAACAACCATCTGTAATTCCAGTTCCAAGGGAATCTGACGCCCTCTTTCTGACCTCTGAGGGCATTACATGACATGAGTGTACTTACATACATGCAGGCAATACACTCATACATATTAAATAAAAATAATAAAAGAATGGTCTGGAAAGATGGCCCAGTGGTTAAGAGCACTGGCTGCTTTTGCAGAGGACCCAGGTTCGAGTCCCAGCACCCACATGGCAGCTAACAACTGTCTGTAACTCCAGTTCCAGGGGATCTGATGCCCTCTTCTGACCTCCACAGGCATTGCACAACATGGGTGCACCTACCTACATGCAAGCAATACACTCATACACATTAAATAAAAATAAATAAAATATTAAAAATAATAATAAAAATAAAATTTACCCCCACACCCAAAAATATATCAGTCAGTCAACTCATTGGTAAAAAAGCAGTGAGGGTGCCCTCCCCACCAGAGGCTGGGACCCTGGTGGAGGGCCACCAGAATGGTTTGAGAGATTCAAGTGTGAGTTGATGCCTGTACTGGGAAACAAGGTCATGGCTCCCTCCCAACGCATGATGTCAGCTTTGGGCAGAGAGGGTCTGGCAAGGGAAAAGGATGGATGGATGCCCTGTGTAGTGGGGAAGGACTGTACTGGTTCCCAGAGCTGTGACAAGGGAAGCAACAGGGCCCTGAGGGAAATTTTGGGGGTGTCTGTCTCTCTTCCTGGGATGGAAAGTAGAGCTGTTTGGAGCAGGTGGGCAGGGTGGAGCTAGGGGGATGGTCTAGGAAGGTCTTGCCTGAGGGGACTTTGGCAAAATATTTGTTAGTATTTGTTCTGGGCTATGAACTGTCAGAAGGGCCTCAAAACCCCAGGCTCGTGCTGGGTGGTGGCCTGTGTTCTGATCTGGAAGTGCAAGAGTTCTATGCTTTTCTGCATTGTGGAGGGAGGGACCATAGTGGGTTCTGTGCAAACAGCCTGAGATATTGTCTGGCGTCTCCTTCTAATACTATATATATATATATATTCGTATATTCGTATATATATATATGGGGGTAATTCAGGTGTATATATGTCACAGACCAACTGAAGAGTCACAGGCCACCATTGTTTTTATGCCAAGCATGCGGTTCCTTGAAGGACTATCTGGTTTGATGCACACCTTGTCACAGCATGTGTTTTGTCACATTTCAGCCTCATGAATACCCAATGAGATAACAGAGCATTTTTCCATTGGCCCACACTCCCAACCCCTCACTGGGGGATTCTAGGCAGGTGCTCTACCACTGAGCCACACCCCAGCCCCTCACTGGGGGATTCTAGGCAGGTGCTCTACCACTGAGCCACACCCCAGCCCCTCACTGGGG